AACATGAAAAACGAATCGCTCGCGGTTCGCGGTCGAGTAACGAGATCTTTTCTTCTCACTCGATATCGCTCAATTTATCGCTCACGTGTGTCGACCGAACCTGACGCCTGACGAAGCATCGCGGCAGGATCCGCGGGATCTCCCGCAGTAACTTATCCGCCTCTCTCTCTCTCTCTCTCTCTCTCTCTGCGTTGACTTGTAAGACTTTAGCCCTTTAACTGCGCAACGTTCGCCCTTTGGTGCGCTACACCAGTAGGGTTTTGCAGCGATAGGAGGAACCTACAACTGGAATTAGATAAACCCGGGCTGCCGCGCGCGGAGGTGGCGGACGCAGAAGAAGAGCGGGATCAGCGTCAGCGCTTAGCGGAGCTCCCCAGGATCCCAAGGAACGAGAGAGCTTCCCTTAAACCTTAAACCCTCCTCAGACCACGCAGCCGGGAGTTTAGAGCGACGAACTCCTGCTAGGGACCGCGGGCTGGGAGGACGGCGGGAGTGCCCTCGTCCAAAATCGGAAGTTAAATCGCACCGACGGCTTAAGACATTATCACTTTTCTTTGCGGACCGATGCCCTTAGAACTGGCCTTCGACGGTGAAAGCAAGCGGGGAAGGAAGAAAGGACGAGCCGAGCCGAGCCGAGCCGAGCCGAGCGGAGCGGAGCGGAGCGACGAGAGCGCAGAGACTGGAGGTGGAGGGAACGCGGAGTAAGAAAATGCGAAGCTAGAATCCCTTCGAGCCGGGAATCGATGCGCCCTGGTCCACCCTCCAATTACGTGTCATCCCTTACGGCCCATGGGGAATAATTAGAAAGCAAGCGTGGCCCCTGCCACGGGCGAATAGCCACAGATGTGCTGCGTGAAGGTTCACTTGAAATTCGCGCTCGGCAAGAAAAGCTTCGTCGCGACGACGTACCGTCGAAGTCTCCGCCGTCGGCGGTCAGCCAGCCAGCCAGCCAGCCAGCCAGCCAGCCAGCCAGCCAGCCAGTCAGCCAGTCAGCCAGCCAGCCAGCTAGCAGCTACGAGCGTCTCTAGTGTCGCGTGAAGTATCGAGTACGCCGTAACTATCGCTCGTAGAGAGTTACTTCGCTCGTTAACGCCGCCTTCGGTATCACACGTACGCCGCCGAATAATATAGGATTTCAACGCGGGCGCACCGCGCCTTCTCCGCGCGACACGAGAAATTGCTAGCGTGCTCGCTAGCTCGACTTTATGAATGTAACACGAGCGTCGGGCTGTAAAGAAACGTCACGTGCACTCATGCCGAGAGTATCAACGAGCGTTATTACGGAGTATGTCATGCAACGCACGTCGAGCGGATGGATGTTGCGCGAACTCGAGCGTATTGTCGAGCGCTGGGCGGGTGGGAGGAATTTTTAGGAGGTTTTCCGACAGACGCGCGCGACAGAGAGAGAGAGAGAGAGAGAGAGAGGGAGGAGGCTCTCCCGAGAGACAAGAACATCCGAGATCTGTGCTCGTTAATTAATTAACATGTGCCGGCCGTGGCGCGGCATAGGTAAGAGGATGGTTAGACGGAAACACGACGACGCGAGGCGGACGATGGTGCTTCCATCGCAGGGATTAGGGTATTAGGCGACGTCACGTCACTAAAGTCTAAAGGAGCCTCCTCGGAACTGTGCTCGGAGAGATAGCCGAAACTTGCGCTTCTCTATCTTCCCAGCGGTTCTTTGGATTCTGTCTCTCGCCTCTGTCTTCCCGCCCCTCTCGCTCCGACTCTTTTCTCTCTCCTCCTCTAATATTTTCACACCCGCTATTCCCGTCTCACTCGCTCCCTACCGCGAACTATCACCCTACCGCCTCCCTCCTTTTCTTCCCTTTCTCAGCCCTTCCGGCTCTCTCTCTCTCTCTCTCTCCGGTGTTTCTCTCTTTCTCCTCGCAGTCCTCTTTCGCTCTCGTCCTCTGTCTACAATGTCCTTTCCCGCTTCTGGTGCCTCCTTCTTCAAGACCCCGACAATTCCAATTAGATAAACCGCCGACGGATCGCAGTCCCTTAGCGGTTGAGGTCGCAGGCGCGCGGCGGTCTGTCTCATCGGCTGCGGATTTCCGTCGCATCGGATACGCTCTCGAAATATCGGCGTTATCGTGCAACGGAGTTCTATCGATAAACAGTCCGCCAGGCCGATCACGCCATTAAAGCACGATGACGGATCATCGGCGATTGACCAGGCACGGGGCGGGGGGACGATGACGAAAACCGCAGCGTCTCGCGATACGCGTAACGACAAGCCGCTTTGCAACAGCGAAAATCGCGCGTCGGAAACTTTACCGCGGCGCTTGTTCTCGCGAGGGTGTTCTCGAGCAAAGACGGTCATACGTCTTTTTCTCGCCGACGTGCGAGGGTAGGCGAGATCGGCGCTAGGCGAGCGCCGGATAATTTAGGGGTCTCTCACGCGTGGATAATGGGGAACTTGGCTAATGCACCCCACTTGGCACCACGTGGATTCGCGTGAATTTTGCGATTCGACCTTTGCGCCACCCTCGCTCGTCGCTGCTAAAAGGCCGCCTGTGAAAACAGAGACGAGTGCAGGCTCGATTGTCGCGATCGACGAAAATTTGCTGATTAATCGACGACGGCGTTAAAAAATACGCAATTATTACGCGAGATTGCAAGTTGGCTCCTTTCGCGACGAAACAACTCTTAACAATTGTTGTCTCTCGTCAACATAACAAGCGTTCTGTTTTTAGGTTTCAGGTTCCGACGAGACCGTGAAGCGTGAGCAAAAATCACCCGACTACAATCCGTCTGGAATTAAGCGAGTAAAAATTTCGCACAGGCTTTGTCGCGCAATTAACCAGTTTCACATCACAGCTTGCTGCACTTTGCGCTCGCCAGCATCTTTAGTCGAACGAACTGGTGATAGTTCCGACGTGCAGTGAAAAAAGCCTTTCGTTAACGACACGGTAACGGTAACTCTTCTAAATTACGTCGCCTTTACTTGAAACTTCCTTCCAAGTTAACAGCACCGGGATTGGTTTTATTTCCAAACTGCCTCGAGATCTGCCCCACCGTCGTTCGTTCCTCTATACAGCTGCCTCCGTGACGGACAAGAGGAAGGGCGACGTGGGAGGGCAGGGGGGAGAAGGGGAGCAAAACAGACGGAGAGGATTTTAAAGCGAACTCAGGTTTACGACTACGTCGGAGAAAGAAGAATGCT